ACGGACCATGACAAACCAAAGTACATATCGGGCGATCCGATACACGGTTCAGGCATGATGCCATTATGCAGGCAAGCTGTAATATTCTATGGTCTGTGGCCTGTTGTATAATGACCAATGAAGATGTGATGGGGGGTATGTTGTAATTATAGCGATGCTTGTGTTTCAGGAAAAAAAGAAAGTGGGACAACGGATGGACATTTGATTTAGAGTTGTGGAATGAGCGAAAGGGGGTTTATGATCGGAAACATCATTGGGTTTTATGATAATTTGTGCAATTTTGTTTTTATTAATTTTGTCATTGGAATATCACATGATTATTCATAAATGTCGATCCTAACCTTTCTGCGCGCAAATAGTCATTTAACAAACAAAGCAAAAAACCGTTATTGTATTTATTTATTAACTCAAATTAAGAATCAGTTTTTTTAATTCTTTTAACCTTGTGTTCCGTTCGACTTGTTCTGAGAATCGGCCGAAGTTCAAAACGAATAGCGATAAGTGCGTACGATAACTGTTATGCAAGATGTATGTATGTCAAAAAGATTTATTCTGAGAATGAAAAGGTGAGTGTGTGGTTGTGGCTGTTATCGTTGGGGAATGAAAATGTGTTTTGATGACCAAGATAACAGCTGACACCCACCCAATCGGCAGACAATCAATGAAGAAAGTACAGCCTATGTCATATATGACATATAAGGCAAAGTTGTTTATTTTATTTGTCTTGCCTTTCCCATTCCATTCTTTTCTCGTTTTTGTCGAATAACACCAAGACTGGTCAGTTTCATCATGATTGGTTCTCCAACCTAACGTTTTCCTTTTTTTCCCTCTTTGCGACAAGATTTAAACATGTTACACGAATGCACACAGACTTTTGACGATATATTAAGCATTTTCATAGTATTGTTGTAGTTATACGTACATGCTCACATGCACCACTTGACGTATCGAATCGATGCGCTTACGATGAACCGCCAGGGCTTGTGACCCACGTTGTTATTGGTGTTTAAGTTTGTAATTGGTATTTAAGATTAACGATTTAATAAAATGATTGGACATTTGATAGTAACACTAGTGATTACGTTATGACAGATGTAAGGGAAACGTCTATTATTCTATTGTATCATTGTTATATAACCTTGCCGGTTATGTACAAAAGCTAAACAAACCAATGCTCACGGTTCTTACCATAATGGAATTCGTGAGGCTAATTTGTCATTCTACATGCTATTGACCCTTGCTTGGACCGTTCATTCAACTAATTCTATTTCTGTGTTGACGGGTATTTGGACAGTGACTATCTTACTGGATCTGATACTGTTTGCTGCAAACGCACGAATGCAATGAATAATTGTGCTTATGTCTGTGTGTTTACATGTATGTAAATTTTGTGCGAACGTACTTTTATCCTGCATTATTAGGAAAATTCCAATATTTGGTAAATCTTGTTTAGGTTTAATCGAATTATGTTAGTCCCGTCTGACAAGACCTGTGCATGTGGATGCCAAGAAAGTGGCGTGTGTGTGTTGGTCGTGTATATTTAGCTTAAACGATGCACTTTCAAGCGTATCGCCAAGTCATATACGTCAGAATACTATTATTGACGAATTCTATCTAGCAGTCGTCATTTCTAAGTGTCTGTGGTCTATTCATTACACTAATTAAACACAGCATTATATTACTTGTGTTATTACTATTTTTAACTTTTTTTCTTTGCACACACGTAAAATACCATGAATAAACCGGTAATATAGTATTCCGCGGGAAAACCAATATGCGTATGAACGTAGCGACATCTTGCATCACATGCTAGTTGTGTTCTGCGGTATGAGTTTTAAGAGTAATACATACAAACACAAAGAACACTGCCATTGTGCGCTGGAAAATTGCGATTGATTGCAGCCAATTGCAGGTATTAGAACCAATTGACTTGTTCTAATAAACCATAATGTAACAAACGGACGCTCAGACAAGTAAAGAGGTTCGTGATGAATCGTAATATATCATTGTGACGTTGGCCGATCCGAGTACAACTGATCTCACAGATACATGAACGACTGTACAAATTAACAGGTAAAATTAAGGGGGATGTTCCATCAGTAAGCGAATTCTTGGCATTTCTCGTTATACAAGCTTCCCCCACGTCTTCCCGTTCCACACTTTCCCATAAACACATGCATGATGGGACAGAAAAGCATGGCTCGGTTGATTGATTAATTTCATACATTTAGTTAGCACGGAATAGGCTTTATTTTTACTTTTATTCGTCCGCTCTAATTTTTGAGACAAAGAATTTTCATCCGTCTTTAAATTTTGTATTTCATGTCTATTGCCATACTGCAGAGTAATGAATGTTACGTAAGAATAATTGATTCTATAACTAGACGTTCAACAGACAGAGTCATTGATTAAAGGCGTGTAAATTGTGTTGGATCTTTGATTGGATGCAATATTCAAATCGAGCAAGGTATTATTCACAAACGGGTTAATTGAAGTATTGGTATTGGTGGTTAATTAAGTAGCACGTAAGATGTACGATGGTATCTACGTTTACGTATTGTATGCGTCCCTTTTTCTAATCAAGAATAGCTTTAGGAAGTCTTGCGTAATGCGCCACACTGATTGTCGATATCAGCAAACGAAACTCTAAAATTTTTTTCTTCATAACCAGTTTGATAGTGACACATATTACATTATTACTGCGTATGGGAATTATAGACTTTTTTTGTCAGTAGGTATTAGTAAGCACGCTACCAAAGACATTCGTTTGGCAATGCAATTGACAGTACATGATAACTACTTCCTTTTTTAACAATACCAATGTCTAGAGATTAAGCTTTTTGGACGCATTCATATTTTTACAAACAAAACAATCCATGTCGTAATTTCCATGTGGTTTGAAAAGAATAAAGACAGAGATGTCCAACTCTATGTATTTTTACATCGACAAATGTCATACAGATATCCCATTGTTCTGGGTTTGTATGACAGTTTAATTTTTGAATGAGGAGACAACCAATCTTTCCTGCAGTCGTTAGGATAATGGTGTTACTGTTTCAACAACGGATCACCGCATACAATACACCATTTGCAGAATGCCTAAAGTTCTCCAAAGGCGATAAAATTTTTTGTAAAATTTATGTTGCATGACTGATGCAAACGTGGAGATTTTCCCCGCAATTGCCACAAAACTTTAATTTCATTCAATAACCCCCCAATCCATGAATATAGGTATGCTCAGCCCCCTTAATCGCAAAAGAGGCATCCACAATGAAGCTGTTTGATATTTATAGTCCTTTGCGCACGTGCTTATGAGAAAGCGATTCCATTGGCTAATTAATCGCTAGATTGATAAGCATCACATCCTGTCTATTTTATTTATTAGCCATATTTATTTATACGAAAGATTGCGTGGTATGTAACGATAGCCTGAACAAATATTCGTTTGTTATAGATATTTCTTCTTTCATCGCTCCCAACACCAGATTAGCGAGTTATGATAGCAGCTTCCTTAAAAGGTTACCCACGATTTCATTTGTCGTTAAGATTCCCCCAATCGGTTACGCACCATACAAATTAGATTGGCCGCATAAAAAATATGTGTGGTATATTCTTTCGAAGTCTCCTTACGTCATTGTAAAAGGCTCATCGATAAACGAAGCAATTTCAACAGATTGGCCCCTACCGTTTCTTCTTACACAAGATCTTGAAATCTTGTCGAGCTCAAGAAGAAGAAGAAGAAGAAGGAGAAGAAGAAGAAGGGGCTTTTTATTAATTAACCGGTCAATTGGTATATATGCATAGCAAAAAAAAACCCTCAAATTTAAACATTATGAAGTTTGATATGCAGATAAGAAAGCTTCAACTATCGTTTTCTTGTCCACTGTATTCAATTGAAATGGGAGCACAAATTATTGTACTACTATTCTCATAGCACCTGATTGGTTTACGATAATGCATGATTGTAACAAAATGGACCTAATAAAGGTGGTGCAAAACTGCAGAATGCTGGAAAATGTCGAGGGTATTAATGATTTCAATAATTAAGCCGTATGAGGTGCTTTTTGTAATACACGCAATTTCAAGTAAGGTAAATGTACTGAGCATGTCTATCGCCGAGGCTTTTGCTTAACGTCTATATTTATTTGTTGATTATTTTTTATTCGGCAGTTTTTCATTTTATATCACCAACCCTATTCGACTAAAAATAGCATCTGCGTTCTTCCCTTCCACAGGTTTTTGATTGGATGGATTTCAGGTATTCAAACAGGTCAGTGACGTGTCTAACTGAATTCTATTCTAGTCGTTGTCACATGCCGGAAAAAGAATAACGCGTATTCCGATTCATTGGTGAATGCAAAAGAAAACTATCCAAAAACTCAGGGACTTGGCAACCCTTTTAGCGATACTAAAAAAGTAGGTCTTTACCACAATTTCTATTTCAGAATTTTGATCAATATTTGCCGCATCTTGTGGTAATTAATGTTCAAATACTGTGTAATCAAATTTCTTTCCCTTTTTTTTTTTTTTTTTAATTTAGTAAGAAAAATTAAGATTAACGGCGATAACGCAATGGAGGGAGGACAATATTCCTGGTTATTTGCATATTTCGGAAATGTATGTGATTGAGCGGCGAAGGGGTCAGCCGAACAATATGCTGGATTGTATTGTCAAAATCATCTAGGTTATTCGGAATTTATATTTTTACATTGGCATCGGACACTTTTTATAGTTAGATTGTGGATGTTTTTCAAAAGTCAGGAGATGATTAAAGATTGGGGTTCTTTTCATTTAAGGCTACGATGTGCGATTTTCTACTTCGGTATGCCTCTGGGAAAGCCCGATGTCTCTAACCATTGTGAGAATGGCGTCTACTCTTCGAAATTAAGTATTCGGAAACCGATAAACGGTTATTGTTGATACGTAAAGAATATTTATATTGTCAACTAGAATTTTTCTATAGAGAACACGTCAACAGAAATCTATTGATTCGATTCATTATGGTTGATGCATCATCAGACATAAGATTGGGAGTATGGAATACCAAAAAGTACAAGGCTGAAGATGGAATCTCAAAAGACCTTTTGTATAAAAGATGGAGGGGACATCGAGAGGCTGCTTGGACGATTATAGAGGCTCTCAATGAGAAATCAAGTTCACATGACGAGATTAGGCCCTGGGCCATAAATCGTCTATCCTCTTATATAGTTGTTGTTATTTATGCAAAGATACTGGTTTTATTTGGGATTGTTATAGAGTCTAATATACCGAGTGTCAGATTATTACCGACTAAGCTAGATAGAGTAAGAGTTAATTAATCGCGGGAGTTTCGTAAATTACGGATGTAATATCGCCTAGTCAAGTTTCATAGTCGAATATTCTGCCTCGCTGACGTCTTGAAGGATTCAAATAATCATCATCCCTAATCGATGTAATATCTATTGTTTCAGCCCCTTTATTATATTATCCCTTTATTGTCGTGTTTTATCTAGGTAATTTTGCCCTGCTTCTTCTTCTCTTTGCAACATTACACAAGCATGAAAACCATCGAACGAATCAAATCGAACGAAATCTCATGTATGACATGAATTTATACCTGCACACCAGTGTCGTGGAGCATGCTGGAAATACAACACTCTTTAAAGACAATAAAGTAATATGTGCTACGGCCTATTTTTTTCCATGTATAAAAAATACGGGAAAGTTAAACCGGTCACAAATAGACGCCCCAGGGGTGATACTTGTTGCGGAAATCTACGGTAATTAAAAACATAGTGTTCCGGAGTTGATGTCCGAGCGTTTAATTTGGTCATTAATCATTTTTAGGAAACTCTCTACGCATTTGTACAGTTTGTAGAGTACAAAATGAGAGCATGCTAGTAAATATATACACAAAATGTCGTGTTGTTCGAAGGAATCAATGAATTCGAAAGCAGTGCTTTTGGATGATTTGCATGGGGATTGCTCATAATGGACATCCGAATTTTGTGTTCAAAATATGCGTATGCTTGTAGAATGGACCAGGACTGTTCATGAAATGAATTGTTAAATAGGTTCGTAGGACTGGAGGACAGGATGTAAATAAATATATCATCAGTTATTGATGTTGTAACTTTATTGCCAGTAATAGGGTTGGGGGAGGGTCGTGCAAATTGTTTAAATGACGTGACTGAAATTCATAAATTTCTTCCAAACTATGATCGTCAAATCTTTTGAGTAACATAAAATAATGGAGGTACTGTATAGATCCAAAAACTTTATAAATGACAAGCCCGCCCCTAACACAATTATAAAATCTTGCTAGTGCATGGTCCATTAGTAACAAGAATCTGTAGAGTGAAAAACTGCATAGCTTAACTACCAATAAGCAAGCGAAAAGTAAAAAAAAAAGTATTATAACGTAGAATAATATTTAACTAACCCCCCGACCTTCATTCAAAATACTTGTCAAGTATAATTATTTAATTTCCGCCCTTTTCATTTAAATCCATTTAAAACTAAACTCATCGTATCTTTGATGAACTTCTCAAATTCCCGATTTCCTCTCCATTAGATAATAGTAGTAGCTTTCGATATTTCCGTACCCCCTCTAACGAAATTAAATGCGATTACTCACCCATTATCAGATACCTCACGCAGATATAAAATTCTCAAAAATGGAAGAAAAATTAAACGTTCAGGCAACACGAGCGGATATCCAGCGTCTCGAGCGAGGAATCGAATCCTTGGTCAATAAAATAGAAAATTGCGGCATTGTTCTTGGCGATGTGGATGATGCCCAGAGTAAAGAATCCGACGATTTCACAACCACGTCTCCGTCTCTAATGCGTCGCAAGTCTTCAAAAAACAGGATCACGATAACGCTTGACGTACCTACTGTCGCTGATCATAACCAAGAATCGGATCGGAACGCTGGAGCTAGTCTCAAAGCAATGTTAAATCGGACCTATCCAGAGGCCGTTGTTGATCTGGTGCATAAGCTAGGTGGAAAGCTTGGATTCAATTCGAACGAGAATGCACAGCAGCAGACTGAGAACAGCACTGTGGCTGGGACAAGGAGGGAAGATGGAGGAGGTAATATTTGGGGTGGGAGGGGGAGCCGCGCAACAAAGGGCAAGGGACAAAGTAAAAAAGGTGTCGCTAATAGGGCTAGCATCTTATGCTCAAACGTTTATCAAATCTGACATGAAAAATACTTTTCCCTCTACTTCCTCCTCTTCCTCCTACCCCATCCCCCAATATCATTCACTGATTTCACAGATACAAATTCCCTCCCGCCCCAACCTCCCACCCCGACCTCCGAACTCTGTAGCAGTTTGATCGATGCTTACTTTGACAAGTTTAATGCATATATTCCCGTCATCGACCGGCAAAGGTTTAACGAACATGGGCAAAACCAAAGTTGTCCGTCACGGCTACTTGTGCTTGCGACGTTGACTGTAGCTGCATCAAGGTATTCGGATGATCCATCCATACAAAAGATGGATAATAAACCCGCTGGAATTTTCTATGATACTACCAAGGTTGGTTTGAGTTTTAAAACGAGTTGGAGCACGGGAGATAAGACGAGATGAGAAATTTCAATGTCCGTTGATTCGGAGAATTGTTCCTTTCCCCCATCGTCAAACTGAGTAGCAATAATAACTTATGAAGATTCTCTCTGATCATTCTCTTCTTCTTCTTCAGAGTCTTTTAAACACAATGTACGACGTTCCTCGCCTTGAAACATGCCAAGCACTGTTGCTTCTTGCGCACTCTGAAATTAGTCTTTCACGTCTTGATAGCTCTTATATGTATCTTGGCATGGCTGGTGAGTTATGAAATGGATTATGAGAGAAGGTTTAATATTGGAGAATAGGAAGATGTGGGATAATTAACAATCCATCTTTTTTAATTTCAGTAAAAATGGCTCAAGCACTGGGTCTTGATAGAAACGAGACCACATCTTCCCCAGCGGAAGATGAGGAGAGGCGACGTGTGTTTTATTGTCTCTATACCGTTGACAGGTAAATGTTTGAGAATAGTCAGTGGGAGTTTTCGTTTTTCAAATTCACTATATTATGTTATGATATTTTTAAATTTCTTTATTGACTCGGTTACATCCTTGCTTTCTTCTTCTCATTCGGACAGATGGGCCAGCTTTATATTCGGCAAACCGCATACAATAACCGACATAAATGTCTCCGTCCCACTTCCTACACTTGCCAATTTCGATCCCATGACCCGCGACTTCTTTATCTCCTTTCTGAAACTTTCACGCATACTTGGTTCCATCTGGAACTTTGGATATTCCTCTCAACCCAAAGCATCCCTTGCAACATGGTCGGAACAGGCGATGGATGAAAAATCACCCTTGAGACAAATCAGAGGAGCGCTGGCAAAATGGCTGAAAGAGTTGCCGGATAGCCTGCAATATCAATATTTGCCGAGTACAGATTCGAGAGATATTTTCCAGTTGGCTAATTTTACGCCATTTGCTGGTATGTACAGTAAAAAATCTGGGAATATTAATAAGCAATACTGTATAAATTCTCCAACTAATATATTTACTTCATATCTACTTATTGCAACCCAGGTCACATCAACATTCTTTTCCACACGTGCATAATCCTCTTACATCAACCATATCTCCCATTCTCTTCCTCCACAAAAAAACCTTACTCATCCAGTCCACTAAAGACCTGTCTTACTGCCGCGATTACAATAGCAGACATTGCCAAAACAACACGTCAGGTTGACCCGAACGTATTTACGGATTTTATGTATTCTCTCTATGGCCTGACGCAATCTGCAATCTTGGAACTTATGATTGTGAACGAAAAAGTCGAATATTCTGCAAGCGCAAGGAAAGCGTTTGATGAAACGATGGGAGAATTGAGGATGTTGGCAACAGGTTTAAAATTTAGTGGATATGCAGATGGCATTAGAGAGCTGGATGAAGTAGCAGGATATATAATAGGAAGTGATGGTAATATCGTCGTTCCAATTGCGCTGGCGTCACGATGGTTGGATAGTGAGGTTGGAAGCGGGACTTACAGTGGAGGTTATAATGATATTGGTGAGTTAAAATATCGATAGAAGGGATTTTAGCTAATAATTCGGTGTTGGGTGATCGTCATTTACAGTTTGTTTTTTAATATTGCTTACCAAATTTTGAACATTTTTATTAGCAGCACCAGTTTCGTTCTCAAGCCCTCAGAACGTTTCCGTTGTCTCGTCGCCGGGTGCTATAGAAGACATGGTTATGGAAGGGTCACCGAAAATTAAAACTAATGAAGCGTGCGGAGAGAAGCGCAAAAAGAACGCAGAAAAGGGGTTTGCAGAAAAGCGAAGAAGGAACACTGATGAGATGGAACAAGATTTGATGCTAAACAATGAGACGGCGAATATGCAAGGCCACATAGATCAACAGCAGCAACAGTTGATAGCAGAAGACAAGCAGCCACAGTCACAACCACCACAATATTTAAACGCACGTTTACCCCATTCTCACGCACAGACACCATCAACTCCGCCCTCTTCAGCCCCATCTTCTTCCCCATCTTCTGTATCCTCTCCACAAGCTCCCGCACCAAACCCTATACAGCTTTTCATGGTACCTCAGTCGACCTTATTCTCCGCTGGGCCGGAGGGGGTTATTCCGTCCCATATGCAGCAACAGATATCATCGACGATGCAATCGCAAATGCAACCTACCTTTCAACAAATTCAATCCCAATTCCCGCACGCACTCCACTCTACCCAAGTTCAACCAAATTTCCAATCACAACCGATCCTTCATCAGATAGTACCGCAAGAATCGTGGGATTCTGGTTCGTTCTGGACCAACGATATTTTCTTTTCTAGTCCTACGGGTGAACTTGGGAGCATCTATTCTATGAGTGACACCGAGGACAGAGGTGGTGACAATAGGGGGAACTGAGTGATAAGTAGAGCGCGTTATGTATATAGCGCGGAGAGGGTATGGCTCTCAACAATCGACAAGGGGGTAAAACCGAGACTGATCCCTCATTAATGTATATACGAAAAATGAGTACAAAGGGAAATCTTGTCGTTTGATTGTCAGCGAGGAAAGATTACTTGTGGAGTTGGTCGATCAATTCATGGGATGAATATATTGAATACAAAACGGTATATAAAACGATTGAGGAGATGATATAACCATCGTGGGATTCGTAATAAAATAGTTGTACACAGTAATAGACGATAGAGACGAAGTTGAAGCGGCGAATAATTTTCAGCAATCGTATACGATTATTAATCAGTATGGGAGTGGTTGGCATATATTTTTGTTTATATAATACTTAAAAATTCCCTTTATATTGAAAGGTGACACGATTGGACATTTTTATTAATGTTTTTTTTTCTTTATATGTTTTTTCTTTTCTTTTTCTTTTAATTTCGTAATTTCTTTCTATTTTCCTAGTATGCCCCCGGTATATATTTCTAAGATTGTAATTTTAGCTATTCAGATTCGTTGTTGTTGCAGTTCACTATGATATTGATATTTAGTAAAAATGAGTAAAAAAATTATTTTAGTATGATGAAATACTAAGTTACGTAGTTTATTGTTATTTTCTATGAATTTTTTGTAAATAAAAATTATTTACTTACATAAAGAAAAGAGCAGATTATAAATGAGAATTCGCAGCTGTCAGGAGTCAAAGATATGAGGGTCGAGTTAGTATTAGTGATTGATAGGTCCATTCATTGCTGTGGAGTAAACAAGAATATCAGGAGGGAAGTTATGACAGATTTCCATAGCAAGTCAGCTATCTTACAAGGTCGATGTTTGTGAAGGTTTATCCATTATACACACGCCGGCAGTCACAAGTATACATCCAAATTGAAAGAAAGAAAAAAAAACTTTGTTTTTTATTTTAGTTAATGTCAGCTCTATTTGATTCTATTTTGCCCTTCACCAGCAGCCAGATTTCTTAATGGTTCTTTCGGATAATTTCATATCGGATGAAGGATGTATGGTCTAGATTAGGAATGATGAGCCTCGTTTTCCTTATTAAGTAATCGTACTATTACACAAGTCACAACGCTATTGACATAGTCATCCCAGGCTTACTGATTATATATTATCGTATTAAACTACATAGCATCAATACCGGCAATAGCTCAGTTGGTAGAGCGGGAGACTGTAGATTAAAGCTGTCATCTCTAGGTCGCTAGTTCAAATCTGGCTTGCCGGAAAATTTTTTTTATTCTGATCTAAATTTTGGCTAAATGCTATTCGCTATTCAAGGGATGACGAACGTTAACTATTACAACACCAAAAAGACTAAGTAATATAATATGGGTTTAAAATGCATGATTATTGTCGTGCCAACAACGGGAGTAGTCAATTGCCGGCGCTATGAATTTAGCTGCGGAGCGTGGCTAATGGTTAAAAACATACAGTGACCTTTAAACCAGGCTTTCGAGGAGTAGACACTAGTCCTCGATAATTAATCGTCCTCGAGTAAAGTCACGTAGGATTAATGGTGTTTTCAATTATAACAAACGCGTTTCAATAAATAACAATTAGTATCGTAATAATAATAGCTATATCAAATAAATTCAGGGAATCGAATATCAATCAATGTAATGAACTACTCGTTTATTAATAGTGATATAAAGAAACCAAAGAGAAATAAATATGAATCAAACACACCGCAACTAGCTGAAATTTACGCTGCTTCTATATCTTGCAAACTACTAATTGGCCTAATTTCAGCAACGTCTAATTACTGCATCGCTTCGCCATTTCCACTATTACTATGCGTAGTTTGCGATGAAATTTTACCATCGGAACTGCGCAGAAATCTAGGGAGGAGTATAGATAAAGAAAACTCCCTTACTAGTAATTTGTTTGCCCAGTTCCAAGATGCTTTCCAATGAATTCTGATTCAACCCAACCAAGTTTAGAGGGGTGCTTGAAAAAAAAGAGTGATTAGTTTATAATGGAGATCCTCACAAGGTTGTATTGCCAGGACTTTAGTTGCAAATTCTACAATTTGGTCAATCTTCATATTACTAAAGCCAGAGTTTTGTGTATGCAAGAATGTTAAGAGGTGTTACGGCAAGCTGACAGATAAGCAAGTCACATGGTAAAATCTGTACCTCTTGTCTGCAAGCACTATGTAAGTGAAAATAATTTTTTATATGGTTTTGAAACTAATTGACTGTGCTTTTTAAAACCAGTAAATGTCAACACATTATTATTATTAGTCTCACATGTAACAGTATCTGGGTTACAATGTTGTTACGGCAAGCGGATCTGATGAATCAGATAAATAAGTCACAAGGTAAAATCTTCCTCCGCGCGTTTCGAAAAATCCGCAACAGGCGCAGCAATAGCAAAAAATCGGTTCGAAGAATCCGCACAGCGCCACCTATAATTAGAAATAGCTAAAAGAGCGTTGCGCTTTTTCCGCAACGCTCGAAGATATGTAAGTAGCTCATATTCCATCGCCAAATCTTCATGTTGTAATGTTGCCCATGTTATGAAATAATAATACTACTGATTTTAGTAGTATTCTCCCAAAATCCTTTATTATAAATATACATTTAATTTCTATTGTTGAAATAATTGATTATTAGACCGGACACTCCAATAAACGGCTCACTTAAGCTGTAACGAAATATCATTGCTAGTAAGCTGTCCGCTGATCAATTACGTGAATAACGGAACGAGAGTTCATAATTAATTATCAAGACGATTATTATTATTGTTTGATTAGTTTAGTAAAGACAAGTGATGAATACGACTAGTCGACAAACAAATCGAAGACAGCCCTGTTTAAATTTTTTTTAAAAAAAAAAATAGTATTATTCCCCTTCGATTCTTTAATAGAATAATTGTTGTTATTATTCTATTAGAGGCACCCTTATTATTATTTGTATTCACGAGTGTTTGAAACTCGGATAGGGAGTGAGAAGCGCGCATAATTAAAATAAGGCTTAATTCAGTCTTAATTGTACAACTATCGTAGTAAGGGCGATAGTACGAGCTAAGCTGGTAACATCCCCCGGTCGGCGAACACACCACGCGAAAGATAAATCGCTCTCCCAAACCCCTAAATTAATTCCCGACCGTAACACTACGTTTACATTATGGGTATCGTATGTGTACAGTTGCATTACCACAGTGGTCATAAGCATTAATGCAACTGATACCCATAACTTCAATGAAACATTAATGCATGAGTTTGTAATTATAATATGGTACTGTAACACTGCATTAGCTTAATTTTTTGCAAGTTCTGCAAGTCAATTACTATCTGCAACAAATAAATTGCTCAACAGCTTTATTATTATCTTGCAATCCAGTGATAAAAATTTTATTCTAATTTGGTTCTTTTGTTTGGTTGATAAATTTTAGCTAACTCTTGTATCTTTCTTTTTAACTTGGACTTATCATTGTATTTAAAAAAATAAACCTTATTTTGTGCCTTAATGTACCCTTGCTCAGCTGCTTTTTCATATAATTC